AATAACACAGAATTGATCACGGAGAAACCCAATTGGGTAAATATTCAGGCACTATACTAGTCAACAATCCACTATAAACGATTTATAACTTACAGTCTACCAGAGTAGACGACACGTACTATCTAATCTCCTGAATGTAATTTAAACAGCTCTCTTGGATTCTGTGCTCCTGCATCAACTTTCAACTATAGTTTCCAAAGCTCTCATGCAGAAACTTCTAGCTTTGTGAAATCACTTATCTCATGTGGTTGCACGAAGAATACCACGTTCTTCGAAGACTGGAACTCTAGTCACCTTCCCTTGATCTTCAAAAACTCTGACATATATGAAGGAAGCAGAAATTTGGTATTTGAATTATGAATATGATGTTTTCACTGCCAAAAGCCAATAACATGACAAAGTTTGAAAGCAAAATATATGAAAATGATCTCAAATGAATGTGTTTCTCTCAATAATCAACATTATGAAACCGTTATGTAGCGTTTGGATATTTATATGTAGGTTAGGGAATGAATAGGTCGAATAAAAGCCTTTAAAAATGAATTAAAAAATTCTTGGATAGCACTATCACTCGAGCGAAGGGTGAGTGACAGCCGAACGACATGTTGTCGCTCGAACGAAGGCAAGGCGACAGGTAGGCAACGCAATTTTTGTTTTTGATGCTTGAGCCAAACCTTGGCGATAAGCTAGCGATATTCCAGCACCGTTTTTCCTTCTTTTCCATTCTCGAACTCTAGATCTAATATAATACAACTTTCATTAATTGCACATTACTCCTTGACTTTTTACAACATATCAACTTTATTTCTTTTTGTTCACAGACTTGCCAGTTATATTAAATACCTAACTGAAAGTAATCAGATTGACGAAGAAACTTGGGAACGAGAATATGGGATGAAAGGAAAATATCCGAATTATTTGAGTAATTTCAAGAACGGAATTCTTATTGCAAGGGGGGAATTGTAAAGCCCCAAAATATTCAAGGTAATTTCATGACGTGTGATTATATTGTTAATTTCCAGATTTTTATGTATAACTAACTGAAATATGACTTGATTGAAATTGGAATGAAAGTTAGAAGTATACAAGGACTCCAATTTCATGAGATTAAAATGTAGAATTGAGGATCGAAAGTTAACTAGAAGAATTATAAACTCTAGTTTAGCAATTTAAGGTAGACAAGAGCTTGATCTTTTATTAGCACGATTGCCTAATAATACACTTTTAAAAGAGAATGATTGGCACCATTTTGAAGAAGATTTTTCCATAGTTTTAGTATCATGTTCTTAAGAAGTTGGACTTGATCGATTACATTCTCATTGAATGATAACCTTGTTCGTTAATTACATTCCAAAATGGGAACGAAGTAGAGTTTTTTTAAAAAAAAATATTTTAACTTTTTTCTAATGTTTAATTTTATGGGAGGTAATTGGCGGGAGTGTTATGACACAACAACAATATTTCATGGCTTAAAGAAATTGAAAGTTAAAGCAGGTGAGCATTAGGAATCCATTCGCCAAGAGGTGACAAAAGGGCCGAGTAGCTCGTTGGGCCATAGGCGATTCAAGCTCGTATTGGGACGAGCTTGCGCCCGAGCCGAACATGGCTTATACGGCAAGCACCATGAGCCTAAAGTTCATGCGTGATCAAACATCATTTGGTAGCTTTAAAAAAATTAATTTTTTTAAAAGAAATCGAGCTCGTAGGCTCGGCTCATGAGCTCACGAGCTCGACCCTTTGAGTTTGAGCTGAGCTCGTAGGTACATGGACCAATCCAGCTTGGCTCGGCCCATTGCCATCACTAGTTCACATGTCGGTCGGTTGTATTCTTTAAAAAAATGAAAATCTCAAAAGGTGCTTTTTAGCTAAAATTATAAAATTAGGGTAAATTTGATTCTGTTATTCTTTGTTTCTCCTTCCCTGGAAAAATTAAACTAAAACTTTGAAATCCTTCAAACTTCCAAATCTTCATTGGTTCGGAAAAGTCTTCAAAACTTCAAAATCAATTATCCCTATAACACGCTCTTCCACCATGAATCTTAAGTCAAGCTATGAGGTATTCTCTAATCAATGTAACTTGTATTGTTAAGCAACCATTATTTGGGAATTCTTTTTTCTATATAATCATTTATTTAAGAGAAATGATATTTAGCCTCATTGGGGTTATATGACATTAAATGATAAATACAATTAAATGAGTCATTTAATTCCACATTTTATTTAATCTAAAAAAAAAAAGGATGAACCGCATCCTTAGCGGCCCTCACCTGCCCTGCCCTGCCCTGTCTTGGACCTTGGTGAAGGAGGTAAATCACAGGTTATGCCTCCAAAGGTATAAGGTGGAAGGCTGCTTGTACACTTGCACTTACTCAAGGGCCAAATCCATATTTCAGGATTTGAACCCTTGACGCGGCAGCCTCAAGCAAAGCTGGAGTTTTTCCACCTTCCCCTTTTACCACTACATAGATTAGGGTTATAATCCAACTCTCAGCAACCCAACTCTCAACCTTATGATTTTAAGGGTTGTCGATTTTGGTCAATTTGAGGAGTGGATTGTTGAATTTGGTCCTCAATTTAGTGTTGTTTGCATATGGTTGAAAGCTACTCAGAAGAAAGTGGGGAATGAAGAAGTGAAAATCATGCCTGATTATTGAGATTGCTGCAATTACATTCAAATCAATTTTATTCCTTATTAATGAATTGATGGTGATGAGTTGTGTGGATGATTTTTGTGCGGTGCGTTTGGAGGCGGTGGTGGTGATGTGGGTAGTGGTGGTGCCGTGATGGTGATGGTGATCGTGGTATTGAAGTGACAACGATATTTTTTTTGTGGTGGGATGATGAGTCAACGAAGAGCAGTTGTGCTCAATTATTGGGTAATTATGACCAATAAAATAAATAAATTGTGATTAATAAATAATAGGAAACATTATACACTTCCCTACAGGACAAAACATTGATAATGTATTTACGATAGCATGTTACAGTCATAAAATAACATATCACATTGAATGCATTACAGGTTACAGTTAACATGCTCCTGATCACAAAAAATTACAAATAACATAGATCTGGTTACAAATCTTAAAAGTTAACTTTGACCAGGTCACAAATAGTCACTCTTAACACGGCACTAGTTACAAACAGCACAGAAAACACGTCTAAAATGTCATATTCATGCAGAACTTTTATAAAATATACTCCCATTAAAAAGTGATGACCTAATCACAAAAAGACTCATGTTAAAAACTTACAAAAACAGACCGATGTTAACAGATTCACGTTAACATGCCTAGTGCACATAAAATCATAGTTAATACAGATTTGGTCACAGACAGTCACATTTAACATATAATTCGTGATAAACAGTGAGAGTTAATATAGACTTGGTATGTGAACACAGATTTGATCATCAATAGCACAGAAAACACATACAGCAGGTTACATTCACATAGACATTTTATAAAATATAGACTCTTATTAAAAACTTATAACCTTTATATCATAAGATGAATTCAAAATGTATGATCCACAAATTCTTCAGATATATGTAACCTAAAATTAGGTGGAATGAAAGGGGAATTGCTTGATTTTGAAATATGGATATTCAGATTCAACAGGTTGTCTACTCAGGATATCCGACAAACCTAATTGAATGAATTTCAAAAATCAATGATGGCATCTTGACTTAATCAGTAGAAATTTGCTTTTAATGAAGCAGAATCAACAGTTTATAGTTAATTTGAATGATAAATGGCTGAAGATTTTGTATGAAAGTCATGAATCATGTTTAGTGAGAGAAAGTGAGAGGTAGAAATACATGTGAGGTGAGAGAATTTGTTATTAAAAAAAGAATAAAAACTATATTTTAGGATGATGATGATGATGATTAATTATCTTTAGTTAAGTTGTAAAGTATATATTAAAAGTATATTTATAATGATTTAACACCTGATTTGTGATACTTTTTTGTAAGTTTGGTAAATATAAAATTGTATTTTTAATGTACTGTAGATATGAATTTTTCCCTTTTGGTATATGGCCTAATTTTCTCCTTATTCAGTACTTTTGGGCCAAAACGTAGCCTAATATCAGCAGCCCATATTGAGCCCAATTCGAGTTAAATAATGACAAAGATCCAGTTCCATTAAGCCTAAGAATAGTGTCTTGCCTATTAGATCTTCAGCCCTTTCAGACTTGGGTACTACTTTCACCCAATTAATAGTCTGTTAACGGAAGGGATAATTACATAAAATCAGCTATTTAATTTTAAGTTTATGAAAATTAGGTTTAAGTTTTTTTTAATAAAAAATCAGGTTTTATCATTTTTAATTAATAAATGATATTATAAAATTAAAATAACCTATATA